TGTCAGACTACTATGGTAATTATTTTGTCACTTTCGCAGCACCTTTTAAGGAAGGATCCTGCCCCTAAAGAGAAATTATTACCTTCTGAAGCCTAACATCCCTCTAACAATCCTTTTCCCTGACAACCCTAATCCTGCTCTGTCTGGTCTGGGCTACATGCTGCAGCAGGAGCTAGAAACCTGAGAGCTGTATGCTGGAAATCTTTGGGATGTTGATGAACAGAATGGTGGGTGGTATTATTTAGATGTCCTTGTAAACAAACAAATATGGTTGATTAAAGCTAGATGGCCACAAAGGTTTCTGCCTCTCTCTGCATATTCCACCCTTTGGCAGTTTTGGGGATATCAGGTTTCTCAAAAGGCCAGGTTGGAAATTAGTATCTCAGGAGTTGCTTCACATGTGATTTAGCTCCTGGTGACAGGGACATAGCAAATCTGGAGGAAGGCTGCCCCACCACAGTGTGATATTGATGTCATTTAGTGTGATGCTAAAGTCCAGCTGTCAGCAAATGCCCACCCTGCAGCTCTGCCTGCCAGCTCAGAGAACTGGATTGCCTACTAACACAAAGGGGCTGGCACACAAACACACCCCACTGATCAACACATCTCACCGTGTGTATTTCAGGTGCACGAGCTGCAAAATCAGACTTGCAGACAACAGCAGTTTCTTGGAGACTGAGCAGCCATCTAGTGTTATTGTATATACAGCATGCTGGTTACTTGCTGAGACCCCAGACACTTCCCTACCTTTTTCCTACACATCTTCCAGCTTGATGTATAAACTTTTAGTTACAGGAGTTTTAGTTAAACTTGCCAGTCCACTGGACTTGATCTCTGAAATTTCTGGCCACCTTAAGATTGTACCTGTAGATGGAGAATAGAATCCTACTATAGTATTTCTTTTACTCATAACAACGTTTGTTTCTATGAAGAAGAGCAACCAGTCTCTTGGCTTCTACTACTATGTTTTAGCAGTCTTTAATTCTTAAGGAAACAAACAACAACAACAATGGAAGAAAAGAGACAAAAAAAACAACATTTGAATTTGAACATCAGCGAGCATATTTCAGGAATCTACTGCTATCTGCTGAAGTGTTTTTGAGACTTTCTTATTTTATCAGGAGTAGGAAAGCTTTGTACATATATTGTTAGGGAATAAGACAAGGACAAAATAGCCTGAATTTGTATGTCTCACTTTTCTCATCTAAAGAAAACCATCTTGTTTCAAAGTCCCAGCTTCCTCTTTGGTCATCCAGCAGACAAGGCAATTAGTACAAGGAACTACTTTTATAGTTTGTAGTAAATTAATTAGGTAACTTGTGCAGGCAGGGAGCATGATGAAACGACACACATTCTTGTATTGCATACCAGAATGACAAGTAAAATTCAAAGGTGACAACCCAGGGTTACTGTGACTTAGCAGCAGCCACTTGGCCAACCTGAGAACAGAAACGTCTTTGTTTACAATCTGCATTTTTCTAACTATTATCTGCTCTCTTGCACTGTAATTTCCCCCAGCCCTCTCTGTGCCACTAGGTTCATCTTTCTCTGCACTTTGCATTAGACTACAGAAGTGTCCAGGTGTGTTATGAGGGACTTTCATCTCCTGAAACAAAAGCTGATGGACTAGTGACTTTCTGCACTGTAAGAAGTCACTGATTAAGGAGGTAAATAAATTGCTTCTGGATAGAAGCTACATTATACAACTTCTTTGCTTGGGCTAAATAGTGAATGAAGAGTTATGCCATAGAGACATAAATTTTTGGATCCTGCTACACTTGTAGAAGGCACTCTCAGCTCTGTCCATTTAATATCTTTTGTTGGAGAAATAGTCCAAATTCCTAAGAATCTACTCCATGAACAATTTACATAAGGACTGCCTTATTCCCCTTGTTACCTCAGGCTTTTAATATCAAATACTGATGTCTCAGTCTTGAGAGCAGTTGGAGAGGAGCAGTGACAAGCAGCACATACTCATTCCACAGTAGTGGAATCTGGTGGATCTGGAGGAGGATGTTTGTTGACACCACCTTACTCACGTGTGCTGAGCCGGGCTAATTGCTCTTGTCTGCAAGACTGGACATGAATCTTTTGCACACTCCCCTTCTACGTGTCTGTCTGTGGGATGTTAAAAACAGACAATGGTATGTGTCCAACAGGTTTCAACCACAACTGATTGATCTGGTAGCACTTACTTGAAACATTTTTTAAAGGCATATTTAACAAAGCTTTCACTGCATCATGTTTTGCAGCTGTTGGATATAAGAATGTCACCAAAGAGATGGCTAATTACCTTTCAATCAATTTTTTTCCTGATTACTTTTAGCAATAAACAGGGAAAATAATATTCTAGATTTAAATTACAACTAGTTGAACACAGAAACACACTGCACACAAAGGCAAATAAGAGCTCACAGAGCCTCTCTCCTGCTGCAGGGCATAGTGGCAGCTCCATGGAACATGGATGTGGATGCAGCCACGGAAGCTGCCATGGGAGGGAGGATGAGAGTCCCTGCACAGCAGCACAGCCTCTCCCTGCAAAAATGAATGGCAATGGTGACGCTGAGCCACCCACAGGGAGCCACAATGCCACCACCCACAGGCAAATCCTTTCTCATCCCAAATTGCTGGCAGACAAGGTGTTGGGCAAAGCAGGAAACGGCTAAAACAAAGCCATCCCATTTAAGTGATAATCTGAGGTAAGGTGGAGTATGTGCGTCTCACAATTCTAAAAATGGTTTAAATGATGTTACAAAATAACGTGTATGGACACAGGAGTGAGATGAAACATTTGTATTCTATTATGTATTTTGCGTAGAGGTTTATTCTGTTTGGATAAACACAATTTCTGGGAAGGAAAGATTTAATGGTGGTTTTTCGTTAAATGTAGTAAAGGTATTATCATTCATATCTCAGACAAAATCTTTGCAATTTTCCAAAGTGCTCCTTAAGTTCTAGTGGCATCTTCATCCCTGCTTCCTGCCTGCAACTGTGTTGAGAACCACTGCAGCTACCACCATATTCCAGCCTGAATGCCTTTCAGTGGTCATTCAGTTGATTTTTCTACTTTAATGTTAAAGTTCTGAAAGCACATTAGGTTTTACAGAATGAAAGGTGCCATAGAAAATAAAGGTTTTTATTTGTTTATGCACTATGATGTCTTGAGAATATTTTCAAGTGAAACAGGGGCTTGAAAAAGGTGCATTTTATTGTCACTGTGCCTATAAAATAACTTTATTTGAGATTAATAACATTACTCCCTGCTAACATTCCCTCAAAGGGATGCAGAACCATCTCTGGTTAACCTCTGAACTATGCCGTGGAGAACAGAATCACTTTTCCATAAACCACATTATCCAGAATCGGCCTGTCAAGCTTTGGGAATGAGAAGAATGCCATCCACCTCAGTTATTACTGGACTTGTTTGCCTTTCTTTGCTTCTTTTTTCCTCCCCCCTTCCAGGACTCCTGGCGCAGGTCGTGGAGCCAGTTTAGAATAGTGGTTCGTTTGACAAACAAGCGTAGACAATTGCCAGCACAGCATCTGAAGCGATAAGCTCTTTTATTTTGACAGCTTGTGTGTCATTTATGTGGAGCTGAAGTGTCTGTGCTCTGAACACTGGAAATATTTACTTTAGCGCAGTGCCTGTTTTTTGGGAAGGCGCATTTCCCGTCGGCTGGGGTACGCGCGCTCCCGGGCGGGTTCCCAGCACTCCGCTGCCCTCTCGTGGCACAACCAGCCGTGTCCAGGGAAATCCGCAGGCCCGTGCTGGAGCCGAGCGCCATGCCCCGCTCTCCAGGTGCCGAGGCAGCGGCGGGCACCGGCGGAAGGGGGCGGGCCAGAACCACAGAGCCCATCAGGCTGGAGAAGTCCTCTGGGATCATCGAGCGCAACCGGTGACCGAATATCACTCTGTCAGCTAGACCACGGCATCAAGTGCCACATCCAGTCTTTCCACGAACACCTGTAGGGCAGTCACTCCACCTGCTCCCTTGGCAGCCCATTCCAACCCGAACGGCGGGCTCGGACCGCTCCTCCGGCCATGCCCTGCCTGTGCCCGACGCCTGCCAGGAGCCAAGATGGCCGCGCGCGAGCCCTGGGGCGGAGCGGGCGGCCTCGCGAGAACGGCTCCACCTCTCGCGAGGCTTGGGGAACGCGCGGTTTTTGTTCTCGCGAGGCGGGCGGTGAGGCGGCGCGCGCGGGAGCGGTGCAATGCCCGCCCGCGACTCGGGCAGCGGCGATAGCGGTGAGGGGCGGCCGTGAGTGACCGTGGGCGACAGTGAGTGACCGTGAGCGACCGTGCGCTCGTTGTAGAACCGCTGAGAGCCGACATGGGGGAACAGGCAGAGGCGGCGGTGATCACGCCGGCCATGCTGGAGGAAGAGGAGCAGCTGGAGGCGGCGGGGCTGGAGCAGGAGCGGCAGATGCTGGAGAAGGTGAGGGGCGGCGGGCGGCAGGGTCCCCGCGGGCGGCGGGGTTTGTCGGCGTGCCTGGGTGCCCGTGCCCGGCAGCTCCTTCAGCTTCAAAACAAACAAACGTGAGGAAGGCCGTGCTGTGGTGTATAAGCACCTTTTGATCATCCACCGGCGGCCTTCATTTTTCTCTTTTGTTTTTAAAGGCTAGCGGTGGACTCTTGCCCTTAGGGAGAAGCCTGCTGCATTTTATACTCATTGAAATTTGCAGTGAGAAGATTACATCTTTGCTTTTGTCGTTTTGAGCTTAAAAATATGAGGTATAATGCCTATAAAGTGAGGTGATTTGAAAAAGGATAGTAAGTTCACATTTTTTTTTTACTTTCTGGTTTTGTTTCTTAAAGTGTACATAATACTTTTTTCCCTCCTTGGTTAAAAAACTTCACCATCCAAACGGCCTGAGTGGAGTTCTGCAGATCCTTTCTAGAAATAAGCCTGGTTATGTGTTTCTTTCAGTAGCAGGTATAGTTTATGCAGAAGTGATGAAGTAGTTTAGCCGAGAAAGCCCAGCTAACAAGGATGGGGTTTATGCCAGTCCCTGTCTTGGTCTGCACTCCTGCTCTTCCCTGCACACAGGTGCTGGAGCTGCCTTGACCTGGCTTTGCTGCCAGGAGAAGCCTACATGTGATCGACCTGGGAGGCGATGTTTGGTTTGCCTGTGCTGCAGGAAATAAAGACTGCTTCGGGGAAGTGGTGCCTCCCCACCGCAAGTGATGTAATGATTACTATGCTTCATTTCCCTCTTGCTGAGAATGTTTTCAAACGCTGATTTTAAGCCCTGGTTGATACTAACCAGTCTGTTATGGAGTGAGAACATGAGAAGCTTGATGCTTCTAGACCTAACATGATAATTTGTATTGTGTTTCAGAAGTAAGGAAATACAAGCTTGAAAGAACTGTTCTCTTAAATGCCTCCTCGGGGAATTGTGTTCTAAGGAATCACAGAATGGTTTGGGTTGGAAGGGACCTTAAAGATCTCTTTCAAGGAGCTAATGCTATTATTCGGTATGATAGAGAAATTAGGTGAGGGGATTTTTCCTCTTAAGAATTGACACATTATTCTAAGGGCCTGGATCTAATTTTGATTGCTCTTTTTCCTTTTTCTGAGACAAGTTAGAATTTATAAAGATATGTTTTGATGATGCATTATTTTGTGATACTGTAGTTAGAAAGGAATATCGATTCTCCTGGAAGACTCATAATATTCTTTGTTGCAAACAGTAAGTGATGATGTAGCCTGTTGGAACTTCAGGTATTCCTTGATTAGACTAGGAACTAAAAATTTGAAAGTAATACTTCTGGAAGGTGAGGAGGAAACCCTTGTAGAGCAAATTTTCTCATTGCACAGGAACTATTGAGAAAAAGACTTAAAATTTTAATTTCTTCCACAATGACCACTTCTGTAACGATGCTGTAATGCGGGGTTTTTTTTTGTATTCTCCATTTCTTGAGAACCACAGGACTTAACCTGTAGCAAGGATATAGCTCCATTGTCCTGTGTGCTTTATCACCTTTTCCCTGGGCAATCGGGGGCCAGTCAGACCAAGGGGATTTACTCCTGTAGTTACCACAGGCTGACTGGGGGCAGCTTCTGTGTTTCTCATGCTTGTCACTTCGGCAAACCCTCTGCCAGGTGATTTGTACAACAGTTCAGCAGAGGAGTTTCCAGTTCTTTTTGAGGGCTAACGGTGAAATAACACTGTGCAAAAATGTGTGTATGTAGGATGGTGACAAAGAGTGACAAGTTTTCGACCTTTTCAGTCAAAAAGGGGAAAAAACCCACTGTCATAAGGCTTGAAGGCTTGAGTCAAAAGGCTTTGTGAGATGTCATTAGAGTTAAGTGCTGTTCATTTTTGAGTTTTCTTTTTTGTGCTTGAAATTTTTGAAGTTGGTCGAGGAAACAGTCTTTCGGTTTGACCTAATAAGAATGCTGTGGTCATGCCAATAAAAAGTGAACAATAGCAATTTGTTGAAAAAGTAGGTTAGTTTTAATTGTATTCTCTCTTGGTATTGCCATCAAGAGTTGATCTTTCTGAGCTCAGCTATTTGTCATCTGAAGGTAAAAACCTTTATTGGAGAGAGCAGAAGCAAAGAAAATCACTAGAATGCAATCTCCTCCCCTAGAGAAATTGTGGGGACAGATCTTCTCTTAAAGAAAAACACAATTGCTGCCTGATTGGAATTACTTGGAGAAAATCAAGTGGACATTCTTCACCTTTTCAGTGTCTCATAGTTTGTCCCATGATTCAGGAAATATCCCATTTCCCTGCCTATCAGTGTATTCAGTTTCAGAAGAGTCCCTTGTTTTTCTGTGTTGGCATGCCCTTCCCCCTGTGTTTCTTCTGAAGGCAGTGACATAGATAAGCATCTTGTAAAGCTCTGCAGCTTGTCTCTGGGTTTCTCTTGGAGATGCTAATTGAAAACTTTTCACTTTATAACTACTGTAGATAGGTGGGGGGGGTCGGTCCCTTCCACGTATGAGCAATAAGACAAGAGGAAACGTCCTCAGGCTGAGCAAGGGGAAATTTAGATGGGACATTGTTGGAAAATTGTCTTCACTGAAGGGTGATCAAGCACTGATACACTGCCTGGGGAAGCAGCGCTGGGGCAGCAGCACTCAAAGTAGAGATGCCGCACTTCTGAGGCATCCTTAGTTCAGTGGTAACTTGGCAGTGCTGGTTAATGCTTGGACTCGATGATCTTGGGTCTTTTCCAAATGAAATGATTCTGTGACTTGTTTGGTTTCTCGGTTTTGCAGGCAGTGTTAGATGAATGCAGAAGGGTGCATGGTTTTTACTTTTTGGAGGTGTTTTGATTCAAGTTTTAAAGAGTAATTTGCAAACTTCTGAATGCACAACCCTGGCTAATTCAGCAGCAGTTACTTTGAAAAGCATGTGTGGATTTTGTAAGCAAAGTGAGCAGAAAAGCAAAGTGTTTTCATATGGGGAATCGACTTGAGCTCTCTAAAACTGTGATACTTTTGTAGCTGTCTGTATATCTTGTTCTTCATGAGGAACTAAGTTGGTGTAATTGTACATGAAGGGATATAATAATAGTAGGGAAGCTGTGCTGAAATTTGCCGGGTAGGGTTTTTTCCCCCCTCACAGATTTTGCTGACTACAAAAAACAGATTTCATTTTGCTCTAAATCTATGAATTGGAGTTGAGGCACCTTTTAGCCCTTGAATGCCATGTGCTGCTATACTGGAGGTGTGTATGGTGCATATGCTGGTAAATGCAGCCTTCAGTTACTTTGATCTTACAGCACTTTATATCTATGTATGTGTCCATACAGTCACAAACCACAGATGTATGATGGCTGGAAGGAAAAGGGTGTGTGTGTGAGGCACTTCAGAGTTAATGATTTTAACACAAGGAACGGGTTCTTCAGTATATTCACAATTGTATCTATAAATGCTTGACATCTCTCTTTGTTGGCCAGGCTCGCACTTCTTGGGACAGGGAATCAAGTGAAATGCGCTATAAGAGGCTTCAACATTTGCTTGAAAAAAGCAACATCTATTCCAAATTCTTACTAACCAAAATGGAACAGCAGCAGCTAGAGGTAGGTGGATTCTTAAGGTGCTGTCTGTTTGGGGTTTTTTTTCCATCCAGCTGTTCGAAGTAAAATTGCATTAGCAATATTAAAATCTACTGGAATCTACTGCACAGGAATTACATGATACTTTACATAGTGTTCAGAATTTATTCTGTAAATTAAAAGATAGACATAGAAGAACATGAATTATAATTTAAAATCACAGTGTAAAGGTGGCACTGATGCCTTTACAGTTCTTTTGGCCTGAGTGCAAAGAAAGCAGAGTAAGTATTTCAAATAAGAACTGAAGTTTAAGGGAACTAGAAAACATGGAGGGACGATAGGAGGTGCAAAGAGCTGACAAGTAGGAAGTTGAGTAGCCTGCTTGTATTATTAACTGAAAGCTGTGGATGAAATGTACCTTCAGTACGTCCAAGATGCTTAGGCCTCCCTCAAACGAATCAGTAAATTACAGTGATCTGAGGCCATGCTGTTCCCAATCAAGAGCTTCCATAAAACAGTGCTGCCTGTCTTTTTTTTTAATCCATGGGCTGCTGAGTTCATGCCTAGCTTTGTCTTGGCTTTCTTAACTGTACCTTTATGGGTAAGCTTGCAAGATTTTGGAGAGAGGGAAAAGATTAAGAAAAATAACATTTTCCATAAAGGGACACTGATATACTGCAGGAACCTCCCCTCCAGAATGCTTGTCAAGTTGAACTGTCAGTTTGATTCGTGCTTATTGTATTGCTAGAATGCGTATTTCAGTACTAAATCTTGCTCCATCTGATAAATACCATGGTCTTTTTCTTCAGGATCCTTTTGCTTCCAGCAAGTAAAAATAGTAGATGGAATGAAAATTTTAAGTTCTTCAAGACATTAAAGCATTTCTTTGTTAAAGGCATTCTAGGCTGCTTAGATTGCTGTCTGTTCTGCAATGGATATGTAGTATGTAGAAGTTGAATAAGTTGAAAACTTACTGAAGTAGATGTAAACTTCAAGAGTTTGCAATTGGGAATATTTTCGTTCAGATCTTTCTAAATTACTGTATTTAAGTGTTTAAAGTATTTACTAACAAGCAATTTAGAGCAGTGGCACTTTCTTGTCCAAATTTTGCTTTGTTTTAAACTACGTCAGAATAAACTTTGTGGGGTTGCAAAAACAAAGTCTATAGAGTACATGGAACTCAGTATTAGCAATGTAACCTATCACTTCTGTAGTGGATTGTACTACTATTGTGGGTGTTATGGAAAGGTAAGAATTACATGTGTGGTTTTTATTTTGTTTAGGAACAGAGGAGGAAAGAGAAGTTAGAAAGAAAAAGAGAGATGATGTTAAAATCTGCCAAGGTAAGATTAAGTAGCTACTTTATGCAATTTTCTAAATAGAAGTTGGAGAAATTGCAATGTTAGTTTTGATCAAGGTAAGTAAAATAAGTAAGTTTGATTGTCCCATATTTGACTTGCAGGATCTATCTAATACACGATATTTATTTTAACTGTAGTAAGACTGTTTGAAAGTGCTTAAAAATTGTATAGCATGACAGTCATTTTAGGGATGTTTTTGACTAGTTTTATTAGAGAAAATGGTTTCAATTTGTCTTGAGGAGTTTTTTTGTTATAGCAATGATTGCTTTGTTCAGCCAAAATACTGAATAAGTAACAAGAAAAAATAAGCAGGAATATTTTTTTGCTGTGTTCTTGAAAACTGTTTAATAGTAGAAATGTTTCAAGAAACTTTCAAAGGTAATGGTTGCAGTCTGATTACATCTTTTTATCTGTGTCATGATAGTTAGAGATGCATAAGATGATGGACCTGTTCCTATGGTTTTTTCCTAGGGTCAAAACCCAGTTGATGGCAAAGAAGAGAAATCAGGTAATGTATTAGGCTTTGCCTTTTTTCAGTACTGGTGGATTTGATTCCCTTAATGTTTGATGCATTGTATAAACTCAAATATTATCTTATAGGTGCAAAAAAGAAGAGAGGAAGAGAAGATGGGACATACAACATATCAGAAATTATGTCCAAAGAGGTATGACTTAACTATAAATAAGTTGTCTGGATTTTTGTAGCACAGTTTTTAATGGGTGAGTCAGTTTCTGTGACATCGATGTTTCAGAGCACTCCATTCTCATACATTGCTACCAGATATTATCAGCCATCAATAGTCTGTCCGTGTGCAAAGATCTATGTAACAAGATCCATGTCACAGCTGTAGAGGCTGGATATTTTGTTTTTCCAAGTCTTTAGGGGAGGCAAGCTGTGGAGAGTCTACGTTGCCAATTGAATTTTCAGCTACCCTTTCTAATTGAAATGTATTACCTGGTGTGTGGTCTTGTTTTAGAGTCACTTGTATGATTAATGATATTGTATGGAAAGCTTTTTAAAGTATATCCAGATTGCAAGATGAATGAAGAGATTACATGAAATACAAATGACAGTAGTCTTTGAAAAGAGCATAAGCATGTTTGTTTTTTTTTTCCCCGTTTGTTTCCAGGAAATATTATCAGTGGCAAAAAAAAGTAAAGTGGAAAATCAGGTATGTTGACATATGTTATTGTAGTTTAAGAGGGCTAAGCTTTTTATCCTTTGTAGCGTATCTCTAAACTTTACCCGTAAATAAATACCTTTGCTAGTTATTGAAGTCCTGAATTAAAGTTTTAGAAAGGTGGTATAAATGAATGCACTTAAATACTTATTTCAGAAATCCAAGGTAAAAACTTCTAATTTATTTTTTAAAAACTGAGTTTGAAGGTATTTATACTTTATAGATTTCTAGTAGCTCCAGAAATAAAGGAAATAGGAATTTATTTAAAATATTTATGTTGGTGTTTAAGACCTTAAGACAGTAATTTTTAAGCAGTCAAGCGTGGATATAACAGGTGAGGTCTCTTTTTGCTTCTGTAGTTCAAGAGCTGCATGCACAGTGTGTATTGCTTCCTAACATTAGAGCAGCTTACAGAAAGGAAAACTCTTCTGCTTACAGAAGGGAAATAGCTGCATTGAATGCCAGCCTCTGTGAGGAAGGTTTTAAGTCTGTTTAATGGATAGAAAATTATAAGCCAAATAGCTTTAGTAGCTGTCACTGCCCTTGAATTCTAAAGGGGAAAAGGATCTATAAAGTCTACTCTTGAGCTGACAGTTAACTCAGAAGAAGTCTTTGTGTCAGTGACTGAATTACTTCACTGCACATTAAGGCTGGTGTAAATTGGGAAGAAGTATGTCTTGGCAAGCTTTGATGTGCATTCAACTTATCACATGTTCCTTGACCTTCCTTCTGCAGGATGAAAGCTCTGCTGACAACCTGCATCCAGAAGACCTGCAGAAAAATGGAGACTCAAACAGTGTCATCAAGGACAGATTGTGTCAAGCTGTACGACACAGTGCCAAGCAGTTTCTTGATCCTGTGCGAAAATTTAATGGACAACCAGTGCCTTTTCAGCAGCCAAAGATTTTTACTGGTGGTGTAATGAGGTGGTACCAAGTGGAAGGCATGGAGTGGCTAAGGGTAT